TTTGTAATGCACCGAAATGACACTACTTATTAAAATTAACTGTCGCAGGGATGAAAAGATGCTCGCAGGGCGGCAGAAGTCTGATCGCTGTCAGGGCGTCTCACACGGGAAGATTTGTAGCTCCAGATTTAGTTCTGAAGATTAAAACTGTCTGTGGGTGCTGAAGATGACAGAGAATGAAGGATTCTTCCTCCAGTAATTACATCAAATTCACCTTTTGTTTTGCTTCGATTAGTCGAAAATCGTTTTCATGTTAAAGAAACGGCAGAAAATGCCGTTTTTAGCCTCTCAAATATGAAGATTTCCTGCTTGTCTCTGTTTTTTATCATGTTAAACTGATTATCTTTGGGTTTTGGACTAAAAGAAAAAAGAATTTCACTATTTACTATAGATTTTATAGATCAAACAATGCCAAAGGAACCTCTATTGTAATCATACATTTCAAGGACAAATTATTTTAAAATAAAAAGGGACAATAAATCACGTAGATGGTAAACCAAAGAGGGGAATGTATGGAAGCCCATTATCTCAAAATAATGACCCAGTGTCTTAAAATAATGAGTAGAAAGTCGAAAACAAATGAGGTCAGAACTTTGTGTCTTGCTTTATTGAGATCAATAAATAGACTATTAGAGGGCAGCCCTGTTTCCAAACATTCGTATTACTTGTGCCAAATATTGTGCAACTTATACATCCCTGAAAAAAAACTCCAAGAACCTACGTGAGGACAGTTACAGGAAGACGCTCCAGAAGTATAGAGAAGGTATCATCAGGACCGGTGTATAGGCTGTAGTGGCATCTTGTGGTGAAGTTGCAGATTGCAACAAACCGAATATCGCTCGCCTTTTAAGCGCGTAGGAGAAACGAAACGGTGGCCGCGAAACAATGTGAAAGGCCCCATCTAGAGCCAGTGTTTGGTTTGTTCATTCTGGGCTACTGTAGAAGTATTCAACATGGCGGACTCCGCCGGAAGAGGACCCACTCCCTCTGATAAAATGTCTCATTCTAAGGTAACAAAAACACTTATTTCAGGTGATTAAACACTAATGAAAACATACCTATGAATATTATATTTCTGCCAATAGATCCTCCTTAGTGTAACAAACTGGACCTTTAAGAAACTCTTAAAGAAAGGTCTTGATTATTTTTTTTTAATCCAAGCCCTTTAAGGTATTTGTGGCAACCCTGAGTTTTAATCCAGGACCCCTCAGAGTCTCCTTGTTTCCAAAACCTGTAACCTTGGCAGTGTCAGTGCCTCGCTCTGAGCTCTGTGTCGGCATCTGTCCAACAACCAGCAAACAGCAGCTCGGAGCTACAGATGCTCGTCTGCTGTCACTGAGCTCCTCGACTCAAAGCAAACAGCGACAGGCCGCCGCCACCGCCACGGAGGAATGAAACTCGGCACTTTTGAAGGTTTCCACGGCTGCTGAGTTTAAAATTAATATTCATAAAACTGTGGAGCTCCACCACCTCCCCCACACAATCCCCTGCTGATCCAAGATGGCTGTCATCAAACTCTTCAATATAAAGCGAGCCGGGAGCTGGGGGCTCTATTCATTTCTTGTGACGCCGATTTATAACCGGCGGGAAAACATTTTCCTCCTCATCCTCGAGAAAATGATGTTCTGCAGGAAATCAGTTGTGAGGCAGCTCAGAGGCAAATGGTTCTGTTCACAGCCGAACATAAAATCAATCAGGTTCGTAATGGTCTGCACTGAGAGCGTGACAAACAGCCGTGGCGGCACTCAGCTCTCTGACACAATCATTTTCCTTCGCCAGCACGCACTGGAAATGAGAGGCGTTCTGTAAATAAGATATTACTCTATGGACTGGCATATTCCCTTGAACAATTTTCCTTTAAAATGAGTGCCAATTATAAGCAAGGAGTCAGCCTCCCCCTGCAGTGGAGCTGTATCACATTTGAGATTTAAATCCAAGGCGATATATTCTTGGCAGATGATAGTTGTGGCTTTATGAGGGATTTTTAACTAAATCCCAGGCGGTGAGGAGAGTCGATACAGATCTGTTTCACGTGGGGAGGACTGAACTATCTGTTGCTTTGAGGAAGAAAAAATCCTCTCCTTCAAAAGGGTTGGCAGGTAAACAGGCGGAAGACAAACAAACGAAAAGATGAGGAGGGGGAGGAAGGGTAAATCTAAATGTCACAGTGAGAGAGTCTCCATTTCCATTTTTTTATCCGTATATCCTCAGTGCTCAGCCTCAGATTAGGTACAATATGTAATTTCTGCCACTAGGAGGTTTATCACATCAAAACAATAAGAAAACAGGAAGTTTGATGAGGTGGTGAAGCAGTGTGGGATCATGGGAGTTGTCGTCTTCACCACCATTGCCGTCATTGCAGTCAGCTTCTCCCGGTTAGGATTCCTTCAGTGTTCATGGTTCAACAGGAAAAGACTGTTGAAACTGAACTTTATGGTGTTGATGAATCTTGTGAGTTTTTGTTGAATGCCGTTTCGTCCTCCTACAGAATTGATCTGATTGTCTTTTTGGTCTGAAGACGTTCACAATGAAAAGTTATCGAAAGCTAAAATCTAGAGTTAAAAAGCACCAAGATCTAAACAGTGGATGGTAAAAATGTGGCTTCAGACTGGATAAACAGTCAATGTATGACAGCTTCTGGCAGACAACCACAACGATGACGCAGGCACAAAGGGGATATGGCGCCATCGACATGCGACCGGTGAAACGCAGCGTTACCTGAATAAAATGACAGTTTGAACTTTGTTGGAAACATTTGGGATAATGTAAGAACTCAACAACATATTGAACACAGAGCTAGAGTTTATAGACAGCTTTAAATGAGCTGCTGTTTTCACTGCCAAGACTTTCAGAAGCATCTCTCTTCCCTTAAAAAACAAAACAGAGTCCCTAAGAGAAGGAAGGATAATTATGGAAGTGGGTTTGTCCTCCTGTCACCAGCCTGTGTCCTCCACGGGCTGCACAGCAAACACCTCAAATGAACAGACTGACAGCGCGATCAGACAACTCAGAACGGGAGTCAAATCTGTCAATTTCCTCGTGCGAAATCTCACTCTCACCGGCGGGACTGCAGCGTCGCCAGTTTGAACAGGTTGAATCATTGCGTGTGACTTTCACAGAAACAGAGCGGTAATGGAACAGCAGACGTCTGAGAGCGAGGACATCTGAGGGGCCCCGTTCAGATGGAAACACTTGCAGTAAATCTCAGGCGAGGTTTGCCTAATGAGCGGTGACAGCTCGTCCACAATGAGCTGCAGCGTACCTGCTTGTTTCTCGCCGTTTCCCCATTATGTTCAGTTCGCAGCTGGCGTCGGTTCAGGTGCACTGGAAGCATGTTGGTGACATAAAGTGTGCAATGTCAGCCCCTGCTGCACCGCCGAATGGGAATGTGCTGGAAAATTAACTTATGTCTGTAACTGCAGCAGGGTGGGAGCAGTGCAGGTGCTTTTGTAATAAGAAAAAACACAACAAAACTCCTGAGTCCCACAGAAACACCTGTTTGTTAGCCTGAAGGCTCAGACAGTGTAGAGGTATGACGGCAGCTTGCGATCAGAAGTGCAAAAGTAAATAGTTTAACATTCATAGTGGATCTGCTCTACCAGGCACATCCTCAGGTGACTCATCTCCCACCAGGAAAGAGCAGCCTTTATTCTCCCGAAATCCAATGTATGACACCTTCCTCGAGTTCACGCGTGATCAACTATCAACTATGTTTCCTGAGTGTGAGCGTCTGATATTGAGGAATACCGTTTCCTGCCGCAGGACCAGAGACGGACAAGGCTGTGTATTGCAACTGGGGTCACCAAATCGCACAAACACCAAATATTACATAATGTTGCTTTAAAAAGAAGTTTACAACCTTTCTCTAAATACTCCACCGGCTTCTGATGGGCTGGTTCGACCTGTTCACTACAGTGCCGCTCGTTGTCTGTCACCAGAACAGAAAATGTGTTTCTGGCTCTGAGCTCGGGCTCATGAAGGTGAACGTACTGAAATATCACTGCCTGGCTTTGACAGTTTGACAATGAAAATGAAATTGTTTATAGGATCTCCCTGTAGCCCTGAAAGGCCAGATACAGCCGGGTCCTTTTGTTCCCACATCACTAAGCTTTCAAAAGTAGTTGTCCATTTGGATAAACATGGTTGTTGGTTTTCACCCTCACTCCTTCAAATTTAACTCACCTTATTTTTGCTGTACAATTTACACTCATGGATAAACACATGCAAAATACATAGAGCTGCATGAAGACTTCCAGTCCATAATGTTTCTTTCTTCTTCAGTCAAGTAGAAGAAGAGATACTTATCTCTGAAATGTTCTCAAAGTATAAAAAGTACAAAGTACTCTTGGTTTCTCTTTCTACCAGCTTTTTCTGTGCAAAGCTAAATGAAACTTCAAACAGGGCTTTTTCGTCATGTTATGTCTGTCATGCGTGCGCTAATGGTTGTGTTGTAGCAAAGTTAACGGGTCAGAAAGGCTAACTCTCTGGTACGTGTGTGTCTGTTGGGGGACTGTCAGTGTGGGATCAAGGTAAAGATTGCACAAACCACAGCGGCAGAATATAAAAATATTAAGTAGAGGGTTAGCAACAACTAGCGTAAACTGCAGTAACTGATGCGTCTCCATAAGTATACATTGGAAAATGAGCGCAGTGGTTTCAGAGACTCCCACTCAGAGCTGAGGCTGGGGGAGGTGGTCCTCCTCTGATTAGAGGGTGTTAACTCTCACTATAGCAATGTGACTTAAAGTAGTCCCAAACAGTTGATTCTGTGTCAGCATTTGACTTAAAACATACAGGGTGATTTAAAACAGTAGGGTGAGTCGAGACATTTTCAACCCGATGAAATGCTGATGTCAATATTCCATAAAATTCATTTTACAGCTCCAAAAACCAGGTTTATGTGTGCAGTACCTCTTTAAATAACTTAAGGGATTTCATGTTGTGAGTTTTGTAAAAAAAAAAAAAAAAAAAAAAAAAGATTTTCTTAACGAGGAACTCACAGGACGGAGACAATGTCGCCCCGTTGGACCTGGTAGTTTCTCACGCTCCAACGGTTCAGCAGGACAACGTCACAGTCCGATCTCCCATCTGGGTTCAGGAAGGGCTGCTCTCACACACACACACACACACACACACACACACACACACACACACAGAAATACAAATACAGTTCATATACATACGAGCAATATACACATTTACATAAATACACACATTTGTCGTCAATCACTGTCAAGTACATGCTGTGCATACAGGAACCCATTCACCCATGTATTCCTGGCTACTATTTGTTTACAATTTACAGAAATATTTGACTTGTATATAGAAACTATCTGTTGTTGGTCATTGTTGCCTTTATATATATTTATATTTATATATTTTTTGTTGTCCTTGTTTTAGCTGTATGTCTCTTTCTGTCTCTTCTTCTGCTGGAGCTGTGTAACATTGAGAAACCGCAGTCAGATCCCTGCACTGTATACAGGAGACATCCACTCTCGCCTACTATATGAGCACATACAGTGAGTACAGAGACACATGAAGTGGTGAGCAGCGGTGAGTCAGCGTAATAGAGCAGAAACAGTCTAAATATAGTTTGGTCAAAAGGTCGAAAACACACACACACACTTTCTATACTTTACATACTTGTACAGCTGTGGTTCGCAAACTTTTTACAGCGTGACAATATCAGGCTCCCCGAGTATCACGATGATGACCGACATTTCTCCGTCTTTTTCCAAGAAAACAGTTTCAGATCTTCATAATGTTTGTACACCACATATTGTGGACTGTTACAATACAGATTCAGAAAGAAAAATGTTAATCTGTTGCTTTTTCTAAGTGCACTATTGTCATTGTGCAGATCTTGGAGACATTATGTAATGTATTTCTGTGGGATAAAATGAGCCAACGCTAACAAAACTAAATATAGTATGATACAGAAACAACTTCAACTATCAAACTGACAAAGATGTCAAATGTCAATGTTCAACTTGTTTTTGTGATTTTTTGCGTTTTTAAAAGAAAGATCTGATTTGTCTTTTAATTAAGGAACGATAAATGGCAACAGCAGTGGTGGTTTTGTTGCTGAAAACATCCCTGAATGATGTCTGATTGGGTCTGATTTTAAGGGGCTGAGCCACATTGTTCAAATCAACTGCATTCAGAAGATTTTGTCTTCAACAATGGCTGCGACTGGAAAGCTAGCTCCTCCAAACCTCAAGGATTATTAGCACTGATCAGTCCACAGCTGTCCAACAGTATCCAGCAGACAAAGGCTCCTGTTATGTCAAATACATTAAAAGTGATTTGATCAGTCTGTACACAAGGTAAAAGTGCCCTTCTTTAACATCAAAGATCTGTCATCATCTTATGACACAGCAGTTTGAGGAGTGACCGTTCTCTTCCTGTTCAGGGGTTCTTCGGCATTGGAGATTTCAGAGTCAGCTGCTATTCAGCGTCCTTTTTAACTGTGTAATTATTCATCACAGCTTCTCAGCATTAATGTCGCAATGGCCCATTAGGTTGCCCTTTCAGTAGAGAAAATGTGGCAAAGTGCTCTTTAGGGTGCTTTTCCCGCAGACAAAACCCAATAAAGTGTCCTCTAGTTCTAATCTTAGTCCTAGTCCTTAGATGTTTCACCATAAATAGGACCTACATCACAACTTTTGCCCTGTTTGTTTTCCGCCACTGAAAATGATCAACAGCAGACTCCAATTAATACAACAGCCCAATTTATTGGCCAGGTATGTGCACACATACAAAGAATCTGACTCCGGTTTTACGTTGTTGTCAATGTACAAACACAGATTAAGCATAAATAAACACGACAACAATCTCAACAAAATAGACATAAACTACTATGTACAGTAGTGCAATGCAAATGCAAAGGATGCTGGAATAATATTTACATGCAGGTATTTTTATGTACATGGAGGTAGGTAGCAGCATAGCTAGAAGTAACTGAATGATGTTATTTATGTTTAAATAAAGAAACTGAATTTCAACAATGAAGAAAAATATTTAGTAGTAATAATTTTTTTAAACCTTCAGATATCAATTTCTGTAAATTCAGGTATCAGTCGTTGTCCAGTATTTAAGTTATTACACAAAATCTGTAACTAATAGGATCAAATCTGCAATACAACCGTTTTTTACAACTTCAAAGTGAATTCAAAGACCATTTATCACTTTTTGGTCCTCCCTCCTTTAGTGATCCGCGTGATTAAAATACTTCATATAAAATTAAACTGTTGCTGCGTTAAACAACTCCGAACAACCGTGTCCTCCGTGACAGCTCTATCACACGCTTGTCTACGATGCCCCCACTTCCTTCCCTCCTCAACAGCAACAACAACCATAAAAATCATCATTCTTACGACTCGCTTTGTCGAAGGATCCACGCGTGACGAAGCCCGCTCACGTCGGCGAGCGACACCGCGACTGTTTCATTAAACAGGATGCGTGCAGGCCATTTCACGCTTGCCGCGGTAATTGACAGAATATCTCTTATCTGTCGGCCCCAAAATAAATATCCCCGTGAGTGCTGTCAGCCTGCGAGTTTATCAGATAGAGTTGGATACTTCATCAGCCTCCCTCGCAGTCATATTTTCCCGTTTTACAGGCTGGATTGTTTCTGGAACTGCTGCTGCAGTCAGTCTGGATGTACAGGAAAATGTGACAGTTCAGCGTCGGCAGCACATTGTCTGATCATTCATTTAGTTTTTACAATGATAATGCAGGAGTTTGAGAAACTATGGGTGTAGAAGTTTTCACAGAAACGATGACAGTGTAAAACCACTTCTCCCAGTGTGCCGACCTCTGTAAAAGTGAAAATTAACCTCCCGGAGTCTGCGAGGCCCACCTGTAGGTTCGTCATTAACTGACTGTAGTTAACACAAATATCTGTACGTTTACTGGGATTTAACTGTTTATTTGTTTGTTAGGCTGATTTATAGCCTACTGATTATTAGTTATTCAGCATAATATATATAACATATATATATGTAATAGGGAATATTAACAAGAATTGTGGAATTTCACTGGTATTGGTATCGACTACTAAAATTCTGGTATCTCCCTAACTGCCTTTTCATTTCAGCTAACCCTGTTTTTTCAGTGTCACACTTGACCCATACAACCAATCGAATCAAGCAAGAGGTGGGCTTTTCTACTTCCTTCCTGTTTTGATGCTGTTTAATATAGGTAAGCTAGCTAGTTATCTGTTGGACTGCGAGAGAGCTACGGAGCAGCGGTGTAGTGGGGGAGGGGGTAAACCCAAGTAAACTCATTTATCACCTCTTTGAAATGAACCTGAGTTTACTCATCTAGACCTCGACAATCATATTCGATCCCGCGGACGCAGCCTCCACAGGGACGCTCTTCGTCATGCCTGTAAGGATATTCTCTTTGTGTGATCGGCCCCTTTCTACATTAGAATAGGCGCCTAAACAAAACATGTTTATTACAGATTTATGACTAGAAAGACACACTGAGCTGCATCTCAAACTGATCTTCAGGTTACCAGCAGATGATGTAAACAATGATCACGCTTTAGCTTCGAGTATTCACAGCAGCACGTAGCTTCAGTTCAGTGTTAGAAGAGGCAGATGAGCAGCGATGAACAAAAAGAATCAATTAAAAACAACAACAGAAGATGATTAAATAAAGACATTAACATTAATACGCCCACAGTTTATGAAGCTCCTCTATCAGATCAGGAGTTCAGAAGATCAATAAGATTAACGTTACATCACATTCATGAAGCTCAGCTGATAATCACAGGCTTGATCCCGTATGCTCTTTTTTTTATACATCAATTAAGAACTCAAACGGTACATATTCATAAGCATCTCTGGAGCTCAGAAAACACAGTTTCCATGACAACAACCCAAGCCCTGCTTAAAAGATGAAGGAAAACACACACACACACACACACACACACACACACACACACAGTCGTCTGTCTTGCTGTGTGTGTGTGTGAGTGCTTTTGGTCTCTCGTTGCTCGGTGATGAACCTGCTGCTAAAATGTCTCAAAACAATCAACTCTCAACTGTGCAGTCAATACGGAGCTACAGTTAGCAGCCAGTTAGCTTAGCTTATCAAAAACAGTGAGAAAGCTCTGTCCAAAGTATGAACCAATCCTGACGCCACCAATCGGTTTGTGGAGTCGCGTTTTGAAGCTTCGAGTTTGGCGTTCTGCTGAGTTTCGACTCGTCCTTATCAGGAAACAATGGCGACTCGCCTGCTCACACAGGATCTGGTATTCCAGATAAACAGTAAAATGTGTTTGTGAACAGATTTGAGGAGAGAAATAGTCAACAACAGAATCTGGATCCATATCTGATCAGCACTGTTTGACACTTTGATCTGAGTTTGGTACGTTGAGCTGGACTCACTGATAATGAGCTGTCAATCACAAGGTAGCCCCGCCCTAAAGCATACCCTGCTTTATGGTCTGTTTTACTCTAACTTTACTTTACTCTCTCCCCTCCACCCACTCCCAAGAGGGTGGGAGAGCGACACTGCCATCACAAGATGCCAGGTGAGATGGCAGCTCATCAGGACCCGGATCAACAAGGCCAGAGGCCCCGACGACATCAACCCGAGGGTGCTGCAGGTGTGTGCAGAGCAGCTGGCTGTTCCAGCATCTGTTTGACCTCCCTAAGGTTAAAGAAAGTGCCAAAGCTCTGAAAGACATCCTGTATTGTCCCTGTTCCCAAAAAGGAACGTTCGAGTGCTGTGGCTTTAAGGACACATGTCACGGTAACTGGTTCTGCAGCACCTCAGGCCCCTGGTACACGACTGCCAGGACCCGCTGCAGTTTGCGTACAAGGTTGACATCACTGTTGATGGTGCCATCATCTACCTGCTTCACAGAGCTTAGACCCACCTGGAGATGCCACAGAACACCGTGAGGATCATGGTCTTCGACTTCTCCAGTGCATTTGACACCATCCAGCCTCTCCAGCTGGCAGAGAAGCTCTCTCACATCGGGTGGGTGCGACCTACAGAAGTTCTCCGATGACTCCTCCATTGTCGGCTGAATCACAGACGATAGGAATGAGGAGTACAGAGACCTGATCGAGAACTTCATAGGATGGTGCTGCAAAAACCACCTAGAGCTCAACTAGACCAAGGAGCTGGTGGTGGACCTCCGGCGCAGCAAGAGGCCCCCCTCCCCAGACGCAATAAGGGTGGAGATGGTGGACAACTACAGTTCCAGGAAGCTCTATCAATTATATCCAGTCAGTGGCTGCAAGCCAACTTCACTGCACAGATGCACAACTGGACAACACATTTCCTCTGTTCACTGGTGTGTATTTTGGCTAGGATTTTTAAGTGTTCTTGTAAAGTCAGACAGAGAATAAAGAACATAACTTTTTTTCATTTTTCTCACTGTGGACGTGAATATTGTGTTTTTATGCAGACAGACTAAATCACAGGGAATCAAAGCTCCACATAAACCATTTAACCAGGATAAAACCAGAGAGAATCCAGGAGCTGCGTTACAGTGCAAACATCTCATTCTACAAACAAGTTCCCTCTTTTAAAAAACAACCTCTGTTTCATCATTTTATTAACAATTTTCAAAGTTTTCATCAGAGTCTCAAACTCTTCAGAAGCGTTCGCCGAGGTCGCCTTCACGACCCGACGTACGCGGCAACATGAATATACAACACCAACCAAAGAGCAACATGCAGTTTTAATATTCATGCTCATTAAAAATAGAGAGCAGATTGTTTAATGCATAATGCAACACACGTCGGGGATAATAAGCTGCACGACAAGAAACCAACTCGGTCAAAACCCAACAGGCTTGTTTTTTTTTGTTTTTCTTTTCACATCTCTGCTGCTCAGAAGAGGAGTGAAGGTTGTTTACTGTCTGGGTGAGAATAAAAGAGGCCATGTGGAGTGTTTGTGGAGCTGAGCGTGGTTACCTGTAACTGTGGCTGTGTGTGCGGTGATAACACAGGTAAAGACCCGTTAACCACAACCGGCGCAAGATTTTTTATTAGCAATGTATTACTTTTGTTTCGCGCAGCCAACTCGGTCTCACTGCCGCCATGTTGGGACACAACGTGATGAGCTACAGCCAATGAGAGCAGTCTCTCTCCAGGACCAGACAGGAAGCAGAAACCAGGTAGTTACTATGGTAACAGCCAAAAAAAACCTTCCTCAGATACCGACAAACACACAAAATACAATTAAATATATTTTAATAACAGCATTAAGCACAATATGTACTATATATACTTTGGAAAGTAGCTTAAAAACATGAACAGAAGGCAACGTTGAGACCTGACAGACTGAAAACCACAGCGACATCAAGACCCCCGATTAAAGACTGAAAGTGGTGAAGTGAGAACTGTACAGAGATCTCATGACTTTGAAAGAAGACAGGTTAGCTATATAATGCTACTAGACAACCTAGGATCATTAGCTAAGAGAGCAGCCTGCCTACATAAAACATAAATAGAGAATATCTCCATACACTTGATGATGAAGATGACTCAGAGTTGGTCTTTAAGGACACAAAAACAGCTTTTCAGCCTCCGATTTCCCACAACTCAACATGTTGTCAGGATGCTGTGACCTCTGACCTCTTTGTTATCAGCAGTTTGTAAAGTTAAGACATCTAGAGACCTCGGGGGCGTCTCTGAGGACAGACGCCGTGACGGTTCCTCTGTCACTCTGATTGCTGGATGTGTTGTAACGTCTCACCTGCATCGACGCTCCCTCCACTCGCGCCACGTAGGCGATTCGATCCAGGACGGTGACGGTGACCGGAACGGCAACGAAGAATCCGCTAACGAACGCCCGCAGGTAGCGCCTCCCCGCCGTCGCCTGCTGAGCCATCGCCTGGACAGGAAACAACAAAAAAATCAAGGAAACCAACATAATCAGAACCATGACGACACACAGGAAACTAAACAGTGTTCAGGTTAGATTGGACTACGTTAGATTAAACTTTATTGATCTCTGCGGGGAGAACAGGTCGATGCAGCAGCAGGAGACTAATAGAAAACCACAGAGGAAGCAGATCAGAGCAAACATGTGAAAAAGAGGACGATTACAGAACGAGTGTGTGTTAAGTGGAAGCACATGTATGAAACCAGGGAAATACTCAGAGATGATGTAAAGCAAACGTGGAAGCACATTTCTGCTAATGTGATGAAACAAAATAGGATCCTGTAAGTAATTATAATGAGACACTCTCTAATAATGACCAAGTCATGACGAGATACTAAGTTATTATTTTAAGTACGGTTGGGCGATATGTTAAATTTTCCAACCGGCCACCGTCAGTCCAACAATCGGTGATTGCGATATGTTTGCACTAGTGTGTGTGTGCGCAGCACGAGCGCCTGCCGACGGCCCCAAACATCGCCTCAGTAGTTGCAGCAAGTTCACTACATACAACAAGCTCTAACAGGTTTAATAAAGAAGATAAACTCACCAAAAGCCAAAAAAGGAAAAGAAAAATACAACCATACAGCTTCGGAATTCAAGTTTCTGTCTAAAACTGAACTAAGACCTTGTTAAGTGATCTTAAAACACACTTTCATTCAAACTCGACAGAAATTAAATAAGCCTCTTTATTAGTCTTTACACTGTTACAACATTCACCAACTCTGCTGTCTAATCTAACAGAAAATATTCTGCCTCTACGCTGTCGCAGCCTCTCTGATACCCCTGACCTCCCCTCGCTCCTCTACCTGCTTCCTGTCCCTCTCCTGTCCCTGCTGTGTCCTCATCTTCCCCAGAGTCAGAGTTTTGTTTGGAGCCTCTGTGAATCGGTCATCAAACCCTTAATTCACTGCAGTTAGATGTGAAAATACACTGACTCTACAGCAGTTTTTCCTCTGACTCGTACCATAAAAAATAGCCGATATATCCGTCCAATCACCAACACTAATACTAAGGCATTATTTTAGGATACTAAGTCATTATCTTGACAGTTGAGTTGACAGCATTGCTTTATTTGCCTCGGGATGTGCCTTGTAAACAACTTCCATATAGCTTTTGATCGTATTGCATGATCTTCATGTTGCAGCACTTCAGCTGCGAGTCTTTAAGGAGCTCTAGAGAAAACCACTGCCATGGCAACCGGGCAAACTCACCATGCTCAGGAAGTTCGAAAGCACCAAAAGACATATTAAATAGACCTGCTGGTGAGTTTGTTTACCTTCTATGCACATCAGCTGACCTTTGTGGAGTTCAAGACCCTCCAATGAACCCTATAGGACTGTGTAACCGGTCGCACTGCATCCTGTTCCATATCAGTCTAACACATATTGGAGCTTAATCATAACTAGCTCCAAAAAGCGTCACAAAAACGAGTCCTCCTGTCAATTTTCACTCCAGGTTTTGGCAATTGGACACTGAAAACACATCAAACTGAGCCTGTTCTCCCCAGACAGAGTTTTTCATCCACTTTGCTTTTCACAGCGCGCTCCAGGAAGGCCAGACAGGCGTGAAATGACCGACCAGCCGGCAGTAGCAGAAGCAGCAGCCATGCACCACTGCCTCCAGCAAACAGCTAACAGCCTCGTCTGGGCGTCCACTGTCCTCACCCTGGAGATCTGCTACAGCTATTACCTTCACATCACAAGACTTCAAACCAAACATCATCAGAAGCACACTGTACTCCCTCAACACCCCCCCCCACCCCCTCAAATCTGTAGTCTGAAGAGAGCGTCCATCACTGCAGCCGAGAACTGTTGCGGAAAAATAGAAGCTAATCTGAGTTTGTCTTCCCTGTAATGTGATGTCTCTACACAACATGTCTGCCAACAGACATAATGAAGTGCTACAAAATATATCAATAGAAGAAACATTTAAATATCAGCATCATTATACTGAGGTGTATTTCTGTGGAGGCCAGTGCAGAGAAGGTTACTGTTTCTTTCTGTGGTAACCAGACTTTAAAAACTCTAATTTTCCCTCCAGAAAACCGATTTTTTGGCCATAAATAACAGGTTGGACTCAAATAGGCTTCGAATATTTGCTGCTGATTACTACTGAAACTCCAGAGCCCCAAAAAAACAAGAAGGTATTCGGGACATATAGCCAAATCTGGGCCGAAGTAAACAAGCCATCACTACTGCGGTATCACCTCACTATTAATCTTGCTTCTAATATTAGATTATAAAACTTTTTAAGCACTTGTGCCAATAGATACAACCAGAAGATCCTGTAGAACCTGGTAAATGCCTTTACAATAAATGTTATAATTTTAAAAAAAGAGGGTGGAGTTTGAGCAGCACGCCGACCAACAGCTAATGAGTGTATTGATCAGTCTGATCAGATTCAGTGAAGTTGGAAGTTATTTATTTATTTATTTAGTGTGTTCAACTACCAGACTGTGTGATGTTACACTGTGTTGGAATAAATGAACTAAATGATCTGATTCCAATCATTACTGCTGTTTCTGACTGTAGTCGACTAGTTGGGGGCAGTCCTAAACTTAAGATCCAGACGTCTGATGACTAAAATCCTTCATCCGGTTCAAATCTAGAGTTAAAAAGCACCAAGATCTAAACAGTGGATGGTAAAAATGTAAAAAACAGTCAATGTATGACAGCTTCTGGCAGACAACCACAACGCTGACGCAGGCACAAAGGGGATATCACGCCATCGACAGGCGACCGGTGAAACGCAGCGTTACCTGAATAACCTTTTTCTGAGTTTGAACATTGTTGGAAACATTTGGGATCATGAAAGAACTCAACTACATACAGAACATAGACTTTATACACTGTTTAATGTTTGATATCTTTAATAGAAACCAGTAGACGACTGTGGCTGCAAGCAACATCACACACACACACACACACACACACACACACACACACACTCCTCAAACAAAGGCCTCAGTGTACGTTACGTCCTATTAAACACGGTGATCTGCCTCCGCTGGGCTTTGTAAGACATCAGTTACCCACCATGTGCTGGAGGGAGGAAACTCCAGCGCCGGAGCAGAAAATCTATTCTAGCATAACAAACCATCCTGACGTGAACATATTGCCATTACACTTCCATACAGCCCCGCCGCATAATTCCCCTCACAGAGAACAAGTGTATCATCAGAGGAAGCTCGATGCTGAGCTTCAAGGTTTCCGCTCCGTTTTACAGTCGACTCGTTTCTGTGCCGACACCTCGGAGCCCCAGCGGCGCTCGCACTAAAACGACCTTGTTTCCTGACGGCGCGTTTAAACGACGGCAGCTGACACAGCAGGTCCCACATCAAAGTCACGGTGAAATGAGAAATCTTTCTCACCTTGTTAGCTAAATGTCCAGATTATAACATACCGGCTTTTAACGGGAAGACTGCCCCAAACTACATTTTCTTTCTCGGGTTTTGATTAAAAATCCATCTTAGTACAACTGCTGACAGGTGAGAACTTGTATCTCCACCCAGACAACCTGCAGCTCTCACAGCAGCTTTAGAATTAAAAACTTACAATTATTTTCTTCTACACTTTAAAATCTAAGGTTTGTTTAATCCCATTGAACATCAAATTGCTTTTTTAATTTGAACAAATGGCCAAAAAACACAAACATATTTATTCAAGTTACAATTATAGGAAAAGCAAGAAACAGTCCAGAAGCTGAAGGAAGATAAATAACGTAAACTTTAAATCAACTGACAAAACAGTAACAGGTTAATTAATCAGCCAATCCATTTATGGACAGACTGTCGACTTTAAAGGGGGACGTATTCTGCTCGTATCTGGCTCTATATTCTCCGACTGAGACTCCACTACAGCATCTTTGTATGATTTATTCTTCAAATAATCTTTATTTATCTCAATACTGGTCCTTCATGCAGAGTTCATCCTCTGTGTGAAACAAGCAAAAAGCACAACTTTAATAACTTTATTTCACTGATTTTAGTGAAACTGGAACATATTTTACAGAGAAAATCTTTGGTTTCAACTTTCAGTGAGTTTCCTGATGGAAATAAAGCCATAGATACTGTAGCTGCAGTTAGCTGGTTAGCATGCAGCTAACTAAGCCGTCCTATTCCCGTGAGTCTAGAGGTGGGCGATATACATCATTAGCGATAATATCGTCATTGTTGATACGCTCTCTACAGCACGGCAGGATTTAGTCACACGACTAGTGGGCCGACGTGATCACATGACGTGATCACATGACCTCTTGCTAGCATCCTCCTTGCAACAGTTCAGCAGTGCGTTGTGATGGTAGAGAGAAAATGCAAACACCTCCAGTCCCTGAAGCTACCGGTACTTCAGATGATTCAGTGCCGATACAAATCCTATGAGCTTCAGCGTTCAGCGGTAAAAAGATGTCAGCGGAGACGTTTTTTTAGCGCAGCGCTCAGAGCGCTTCAAGTTGAAATCTGTTCAGCTCGGAAAATTAGTTTTTGAGCTCTCAGCGTTAAAAACGCGTTTGGTGGACATAAGCCCTAACTCAGACAATTCCAATCACATTTTAAAGGATATCGACTGATTATCGTTATCGCCAAAATCCCAAAACGTATTGAGATATTATTTTTTGCCCATATCGCCCACCCCTACACGAGTCTGGACGGGACTGGGCGCTCAAAGAACCGGGGCAGTGTCGTGGGTGGTCATGACATTATGGCTAATAATCAAAATCCTCTATTCAGAACATAAATGGGATTTTTCCTTCCTGAACCTCACAGCAGAGTCAGGGCTGCCAAGAAGGCGACGGGCAGAGCCGACCACACTGAGCTTTCACAACGGCTCTTCGGAAACCTGCGAGACACGTCACAGAGACTACGTTCATTTTGAATTATACAGTCTATGGTTGAGCTCTGTACAAGACTAGGGCTGCACAGTTAATGGAAATATTATCGAAATCAATGTGCA